CCACGGAAGGACGGCTATCGGTATGAGCTAAGAAGCGAAACGGCGATCGCAGTCCAAACGGGCGGCGGGTCGCGGGATGTATCGCCAAACGGTTTGGCTCATGCAAGGCTGCAAAAGCATCGCGAGCCTAGACTGTGCAGAAAGGCGGGGATAGGGCGTAAGTTTGCTTGCGGCTGCATGTTACAGGGCTTGTAAATAATCGTGGCTTCGTTAGCGCCGAACTTGACAAAATGAAAAAGCGACGAGGCTCAGCGAAACTGACGGTGCTGTGACACGCACATATACTATCTAGCAAAGATAGGGTAGCAAACCATAGTGGTGCCATTGAGTTCTGATCGAATGATCTCAAAACAGCTTGGCGATTCCGACTTGGTGTGATGGAGACAGTGCTGTTTCATCGCATATTGGTGAAGGACACCTCATTCGGAACGTATCTTTTCGTCGTCAGCGTCAAATTGATCCATTACGATATGCAGCTGAGCTCCTTGCGTACTGGTATTGGTTCCGCAGTCCAAATCTTTGTGGCACCAGTGTATACAGCCGTTGACAGCGTCTAGAGCGACTTGCGGTTAGGTAGACGATCTGGAAGTTTAGCGTCCCCGGGATACTGGTTGACATGTACCTGTCCATATGCTCCCAGGCAGGTGGATAGACATGGCGCAGGCATTTTCTGATCTGCTCTCGTTGAAAGTGTACAACGCACCATGCACATCGTGCAGGTCAGAGGCACAGGAGAGAGTCGTCTCCTTGAATTCGGAAAACTGCAGACCGATGGCGCTACAAGCGCACTGCGAAGCACAAGGGTTACGCTAGCGATAGAGAATCCTGGTGCACCGAAGCCGTTCGGGAAGTTGAGAATGTATAAAGACGCGTCTCTGGCCTAGATGAGAGGTACTCGCTCTGTTCACCTTGATTCTTTAGTGTCGCTCCACATTCCTTCAAACCTCAAGTCGTATTTTGCTCGCCTGTCTCTTCTAGATCATCACTGTCATTCGCTTCAGCCATGTCCTCCAAGATGCAACTCCAACACCGACACCTACCCAGAAGCGTCATGTGGATGAACACGCCCATCGACAGAGTAGCCATTCCTTGTATGAATGACGCTGAAGGCATCGTCACTATGCCGGTGAGTAAAAAAGCGATTATCGTCCTGGACGTCCACTGATTGTTATAGGTACCCGGTCGTCGCTGCCCTGCCTGTCTCGAGCGTGGAGACACGGTCTGGGTTATCCCTGGGAAATGCTGCATTCAGTGCGGTACTCCCGTTAACTAGACGGACGCTACATCACAGTGAGTATACACTGAGGCGACGCTGTGACATTGACTGATCACCGTGCAGGACGAACGTAACTTCCGAACTTGAGCCTTCGCGTACTTTCCGGCGGTCGTCATGGCGCGCGTAGAGTGACTTCCGCATCTTGCGTTTGGGGGTTGTTTGTCTGCATTTTCAATTGTTGTCCAGTAACGTTGTACTTGTACTTGGATTGGTGGATCTGTAATCAACTCAGACGGTTCCATGTGGCTTAGTGCTGGTGTGAGCGGTAGACTCGAGCTCAATCTATGTGTGTCAACTTGGTGATCAGTGGGTGCCTATTCTGGATGTGGCTACTCTTACCGTCATGCCCTCAGTGGATAGTGCAGAGTGAAAGAGCGGTTCGTGAAGTGCAGGTCACCGACAATTGTGAGAGTGCGTAAAAGTTGAAGCGCACCCACGATGCTCTGAGTTCCTGTGGGATTGACGTGATGGCGCCATCTCGCGCCATGACGACGTTTTCGAATGTGATGTAAACAAAGCTGAGCGTGGAAGGGGCCGATGGAGCTTTGCTTGGCGCCTCAGGGTCCGGGAAAGAGCGCCAATGAATCAGCAGCGGCTGACGCAACTGCGGCCACAGCAAAATCGATCGCAGCCTGCTGAAGTGATAAGTTCACGATTTGAGTGTTAGCAATAGCGATGAAAGTATGACTGATTAGCACTGTGTGACATGCAAATACACGGATGAATTAAGTGAGATAGCTGGATCGGAAAACAGCCGAACAGTGTCCGGCGCGTGCAATGTCAGAATGTCAAGCCTGACTACGATCTCCAATAAACGCCTATTCATCCCAGCATATGTGGTGATGTATGCCAAACCTCAACGCCATATCCAAATATATTACAGATTGCCATTTAGCCCAGGAAACAAAGCTTGGTCATTATAGTCGTATTGTGTGGGACCGCAGAGGCCGGATCGTGCTTGGTGCGCATGCTGGCTCGGTCCTATATCGCGTCTCGCTCGATGCCCCCTTTACCGGGTCGTTGGGTGACGTGTGGAGTACGCGATGAGGCGTTCATTTCCCCCCAGTTTGCCGTTCATGTTGAGTCATGACCCATCGCATCTTATCGCGGGTTTGCTCCAACGAATCGACAAGTTTCTGTGCCTCGCGCTCCTTCTCTGGCAGTGCGCGTCGCAGCCTCTCTGCTTCCTGTATGAGACCATCCATCTCTTTCCGGTGCTCTTTTTTGTATACCTCCATCAGATTGACCAGCTTGGCCTCGGCCCGTGTGGATCGCGAAGATTCGTGTTGCAGCTGGTCGCTGATGATGGCTTGTCGCTTGATCTTGTCGGCGTCTTCGAGGCGCTTTCTCCGTAGCTCGTTGAGCTCGTCGTTGATTTGGCGGACCTTCTTCTCGTAGCCGTCGGTGATGCGCTTGAAGCCGTCTCGTGCTGTTTCGAGGTTCGTGTCTGCCATGCCCCTCATCTCGTATGCTTGCGAAAGCTGTCGTTGCGTCTCGGATCGTGTGTCGCCCAGCATCCGCAGCGCTTCTTCGGCTCGCTGTTCGGCGGACTTCCTTCTTTGTATTTCGGCGTCGAGTGTGGCCTTGAGTTCTTCGAGCTTCCGGTCTTTCCGCTCTATGGCTCGCGCATTGGTGTCGGCAAGCACTTGGAGATGTTGGTGCTCGGCGCGGGAGTCTTCGGCTTTGGTTTGCGCAGCCGACCAACGCTTGGCCTCATCTTCTCTTGCGAGCTTCTCGGCCCTGAGTTCTCGTCGCAGGCGGTCGTTCTCTTGTGTGATCTTATCAATATACTGTGACGTCTTTGAGTTGGGGGTGCTGTAGTGGTTGGGGCGGGCCCACGGGCTGTTCTCATCGGCGGCGGCAGCCATGGCGGCTTTGTCGACAGCTAGCGGGCCTGAGACGTTGCGGGGCGATGTGTACGAGGGCATGGTGGTGGTCGAGGTCGTGCGTGCTGGTGCGGCGTTCGCAGTGCGAGAAGTGTCGTCGGTGGTCCAAGCTGACCCGTTCATGTCATTCCTCTTGCGGGCGGTGAAGTTGAGTTCGGGGAGCAATGGGGCCGAGTCTTGAGAGGGTTAGCATCCAACGTTGTGAAGGCGCGTTTCAGGAAGCGGCATCGGGGGGCCAAACAATGCAATTGTGCAGCGCAGCGCGGACAGGAAAGATGTTTATGCGGCGCGTCAATCAGGACGATGGGTGATGCGCTGTGTTTGGGGACGCCAGGGGTCCACCCTAGCGCTAACTTACCTGGAGCCGTAGCGGCCGCGACTACCTTCCTTCTGCGAAAGGGAAGGAGCGGCATGCTTCGAGTGCGCAATGCGGCAGGACTGGACATCTGTATCTGGATTAGTTTTGGTTTTTCGAGAGCCGTCGACCAAGATCCAAGATCCAGTGCTGCTGCTCAGCAATTGCCTACGAAAAGGCACGAAAAAGAATGCAACTGCAGCAATCTAGCGGAGATTGCGCACCACCAACAGATGACTGGGTTGAGGGGGACTCATACCTTGCTGATGGTCTTGTCGTGCTCCGGCGGATCTTCACAAATTGTTAGCAACCTCTATTGTTCTTCACTCGTTGGTATCTGGCAGGCGGCGAGGTTGGGCAGATGAGGTTTCAAACGGTCGTTATATCACGAGCAACAGGAGCGGCCAAGTCAAAAGCAATGCATTTTGCAGTGAACACTAGTCTAGCCCTTTGGAGCGCCTACAAACCTCCCCTTCACTTCACCTTGGATTCATCGTGGTCTGGTAATGCTGGTGTAGCAGTTCGCCAATCAGCGATGATCCCCGTTCAGGAACCCGCTGTCAAGTGGGGCGGAACCCTAGCAACTGCCCTACGGAACGTGACGTGTGCGTTTCCCGCACGAAACACCGTAAGACTGCTAGGCTCGTCAGCATGAACGCGTTCGTGCCGGGACATTGCGATGCTTACGAGTATGCTGGGGAGTCCTTGGTACTCCAAGATTCGATGCTTTCGCACCGAAATACTACCACGAAAGCCAGCAGCCATCACAATGATGCCCACGTACTGAGATATTGAGCCTACTGTAATCCGCACCTGCTCCGTCCGTCACAATAATATCGTAGGCAGTATACCCCACATTGCACTACCAACGTGGCTGAGCCTCACCGCCCCCAGCATGACTGTGCTGGGAGTCACTGTGTAACATGGTTGGACATGATTTTCACTTGTAACAACGGCCGCCACCCTCCATGCAGATGGGCCTGGTACTGTCTCTATGAATAGACCCAACCGCTGAGGGAAGAGCGCAGCACGCTAAGCCCAGAGACATCTCCAAAAGCATCAGCTCTGCTGGTGAGAACTGCCCAAGCAGCATAAGGAGCTTATAACTTGCGCAGAGGCGAACTGAACGCACTTCCACGTCTTGCCTTTTTGACGTTGTCCATCAATGAACCTGAGCATTACGTCAAATGTCCTGTAAGAAGACGGTTTCGTTAGCGGTCTATGGTTGAAACATGTTTCCGTAGATTGAGGCTTGATGCGGTCATGGACAAGTTAGTTTCTTGGTCGATCATGTGCCTTTCCGCCGTAAAGACCGAAGGTTGGCTGTCTTACAATGAATCAGGGCGGCCAGGAAACAATGATAGAATAGTGATGCGACACTGAATACCAAAGACCGACTGTCAAAGCACAGTAACAGACACTACAAATGAAACGGATATCATTCCCTGAGTATGTACATCTAGCGAGCCAAATTCATCTTTATCTAGAACATGTCGGGCGCCTTCTTGACGCGGGTCTTTGGGCCCGTTACGGGCGTTTCCGACGAGATATCGTTATTCCTTAGCTTTTCCAGCTTACGCTCGTTGTCCTCGTACGCCAGCTTCTTGTACTTCTCGATGACCTTGTCCATTTGCACTTGGCTTCCGGCGGGGACGTTGTATGGCGATCCGACGTTCATGATCCTGTATTCGTTAGCCTGCGGCTTCCATACCAATCCACCTTCCATGTGCGCTGATTTGCCTTCATTCCAAGTCATAGTTCCTCCTCGTATAGGGCTGTATGCCTTATTCCGGGTATACGTACTCGGGAAACTTCATGTCGACGTATTCCTGAGGCCGTGTGTTCGCGAACAGCACTCTGTCCTCACCCGCCTGCTCGATCATGCGCACGTGGTGGTCGTTCTGCGAAGTCCACTTCTCGTGTAGTCCAGCCGTCGCATTGGAGATCATGCGGGTAATGTAGGGCTCGTTGTTCTCGCCGTCCGGTCGCGACAAGGCGTATACGGCGATTCCGACGGGGATGACGCCAATGGTCATGAAGAAGCCATACTACATGCCAATTGAGTCAGCAATGTTCTTCGTGTAGTGCTGCGATAATTCGAGAGAATTCCAGGACCGTCTGGGAGGGGTAAAGGGCGGTTGACATACGCCCATGGGCTCGTCGGCGGCTGGGGTCGGGTGGCCGTGAGCGTGCTCATCGTGTGCGAAGCGGCGCGACTGGCGCGGGAGTGAGGTGCGGCTCGTCCGGGCAGCAGCCACTGCTGTTCTGCGTAGTGACTGCATCGTGAGGTTGCTGGCGGTCGTTGGTACCGCTGGGTTTCGCGATGATGCTGAGCTCGAGATTCGCTTAGTCAGACGCTCGTAGCGGCTTGGCATCTGCCGTCGCTTGCTCTCGAACTTAACAATCATCGCATCTGTAAGTCACATCTCAATGAAATCGTTTCACGTGTAGGGAATGGTCTATAGTTCTGTTCCGCAACTTGTCATCATTTCATGCACGTGTTGACGTGAACATGCGCCCACGGAAGCAGGCCATCGACACTCTAGTAGACTTCTACTCAAGTTATCGAGCATCTCAAGATATGCCTGAAAGTCTGAGAATGTCAGCTCTGAACACACACGCAATGAGTCGTTGCGTGATGAAGATTAGTAACTCTTACGGCCGTTGAGATTCCTTTGTTCGGCCCTTGGATTATGTAGCGGTCCTAATCGGGAAACGACCACCCGAGCCTCGGTATCTTCTCCGCAGAACACCTGTGGAGGATCTGTGCGGACACGAACTACAAACGCGACCGAGCTGTCTTTACTTTCGACTTCCTATACCATCCATCTCCATTCAAAAGAACCTTGCTTTCTCGTCTCGTTCCCCAAATCATTACCGCGAAAGTCGGCCAAATCATTCCGAAGCGTGCCATCAATTCATCAACTCCATCATCATGCCTTCATATACATCGATCCACCTTGCCGAACGGCCAGTGGACGCTGTTGTCGCCGGCAAAACCTTCACACCAAAGCAGCAAGAAGTTCCATCGGCATCGTCACTAAAAGATGGCGAGGTACTCTTCCAGACACTCTACCTATCACTTGACCCGGCTATGCGCGGCTGGCTGAACCCAACGCGTTCTTACATTCCTCCGGTTGAGATTGGTGCCGTCATGCGTGGTAGCGGTATTGGCCTTATCGTAGCGAGTAAGAGCAAGAAATTCCCCGTCGGTACCTACGCGACTGGTATGTGCGGATGGTCCGAGTACTCGGTGCTGAATGAGAAGCATGTTGAGTCGTTGGATCTGCCGGAGGGGGCTGTACCAACCGACGCGCTGGGCGTATTGGGAATGACCGGCCTTACCGCCTACTTTGGACTCCTAGAAATCGGCCAGGTCAAAGCTGGAGACTTTGTAGTCGTCAGCGGTGCAGCTGGCGCTACTGGAAGTGTGGTCGGTCAAATCGCGAAGCTGAAGGGCGCCAAGGTTCTGGGTCTCGCTGGTGAGGACAGCAAAGTATCATGGTTGAAGGAGGAACTCGGCTTTGACGAGGCGCTGAACTACAAGGACCCGGAGTTTGCGAAGAAGTTCAGGGCTGCAACCAAGGGTCTAATCGATGTGTACTTCGACAATGTAGGTGGAGAGATCCTTGATCTTGCTCTATCTCGAGCGAAGCCTTTTGCGCGCTTCGTCATGTGCGGGGCGATCTCGGAGTACAACAAAAAGAAGCCGCAAGGACCAAAGGTATGCTGTGTTCGGTCACTAAGTCTATGCATCAACCTACTAATCCATTCATAGAACTACATGATGATCATCTCAATGCGCATCCGCATGCAAGGTTTCGTCGTTTTTGACTTCGCGGACAAGTACGCCGAAGCCAGGAAGCAGCTCGCGCAGTGGCTCTCTGAAGGCAAGCTGAAGAGGAAAGAGACAATCATCCAAGGAGGCATCAACAAGGCCGAGGACGCGCTAGTGGGACTGTTCGAGGGAAAGAACACTGGTAAGCCCGTCCAATCAGCATTGTAGAGTCAAGTTACTAACCACTGCAGGCAAAATCATGGTACAGGTCGCAGATCCTGAGGCTGTCAAGGCGAGGTTGTAGAGGTGTAATTGATCATCAATCGAGTTTCTGCTACGTGAATGTGTTAAACTCTACGTGTAATCTTGGTCACTTGGTGAGTCTGTGCGACGAAGTGCTCCTTCCACTCCGGAGGCGCACGGTCACACCTGACGTAGCCGCCTCCCCCAGGCGCGCGATCTCGACAGTTGAGCTACACTCGACACCCAGCGCACTCAATAAGCTCACCTCCCACCCTGACAGCTACATGACCTCGCAACTGATATCAGCTACAATGGCCGCGACCATGTCGACTCCTCGCTACGCAGAGGCAACGAGCCGGCTGGAGTCACTACCTGCTGAACTCCTCGAAAGGATCCTGCTCGAAGCGGTACGCGGAGTGCAACCCGCACTGACGGAAACAACGGTATCTCTCAACAGACGATGTATGCAAGAAATCCGCAGCGGGCAATCCCGCGCTTCCAAACTCCTCGCGCTTAGATGCGTGAGCCGCACCATTTACAACCACGCATGGCGCGCTCTTGCAAAAGTAATCGACGAGACCACCTTCGACTTATGCTCAGAGCAGAGCATGAAAAACTTCGTGGCCTTAACGAATTGCAAGGATTTGACCCCGTGGGCTCGAAAACTGACCATCACTTCTCGCTACACCGAGCACCTCCTGCCAGAGGTTGGTAACGTGGAAACTGGTGGAGTTTATAAGCACGAAGACGTATTCGAAGCTGGTCTTTTGAATAGGACTCAGGCTATCATCAAGAGCGAGCTCGATTGGTACCCGGAGCTATGGCTGTCTTCCGATGACTATCACAGCAGTACTGCACGTACACTCCAGGATACTGTTAGGAGCAGTCAGCTTTGGCAACTCGTTCTATCGTGTCTGGAAGCTTTACCGAATATCGTCAACATCCATTACTGCGCCAGGAGAGTCGCGGGCAGATTCACCGAAGTCTTTCGAGAAATGGCAATGATCAAGGACGTCGACATATTTTGGTACATATATGAGCACTCAGGCATTCAGATAGGTCAAGACCTCCTCCTCAGCGCCCTAGCGCAATCTATCGTTCTTCCCAAGAGACTCGAACTCGTTACGGAGATGAACGGTTTACATTGCTTCACAATACAAGCTACGATACAAGTCATCAAAAAGGTCTCGAGCAAAGTCGAGGTCCTGATTCTCCGAGATGAATTTGGCGAGGGTGGCTTGCAGCAAAATTCACTCCAAGCATTGTCGACCGTGGCTATCACCAGAGACACCTTTCCAGCATTACATACGCTCGTTCTGGACGGCTCTATTCACCAAAGTACCCTCGGCGGCAGACCACTTCCATCAGCCATGGACGTACCCACTGTGGCAAATCTCGTATTCAGAGACACCAAAGTCGACCACCGGAGACTAGTCAATTTCATCGCCCTGTTTAGAGAAACACTTCGCCAAATAACGTTCGTGGACATGTACATCGACAAATACAAGTCGATATTTGAGCTTTGTCGAAATCTCAATCTCGAGCGCTTGGAGATTACTGATGGTTATGGCGACGGCCCGCATGAGGTCGTGCTCATCACAGACGTTCCGAAAGCACTGTTCTATGGCGCCGCAAAGACTGTTGTTGTCGACCCACCAAAGGTTATGGACGCGCTCGCCAGACACTGGGCAGAGCTCGAAGTTGCCGGTAAGGAAAAAAATGAACAGGTCTAGAGCCTACATCACCGCCAGGTCACCTATCTTGTATGTTTTCATCTTGATGTAGGCTGCAGACCTGTTCAGGATTTTCTTGGTAGACGTGCTAGCGGCGATCTGGGTGTCGTAGAATACATTGAACGAATCAAATGTCAATGCAGACCATGCGCACACTTACCGCCGCCGTGAATAGCCTAATCTCGATCGAGCTTAGTAAACATGCTTCTTGACTGCCACTCTCCCCAGGATGCGGAAGTCACACCCCGCACTTCAGATGCCCAGTTCCCAACACGACGCTCCACCTTTCTCTTCCCGTATCCAGCATGACAGAAACTCCCCCTTTCGTTTACGACCCGTTGCCCGCAAGCTACATCCGTCTACTCACTCCCGTCTCCAGCGAAACCGGCGATGATCACTCTTGGAACTTGCAAACGGTCGATCTCGGCCAGTCCGACTTGGAATTCGATGCGCTATCTTATGTTTGGGGTTCTGCGTCGGAACTGCTTAACATCTATCTAGACGGCTACGTTGCTAAAGTGCATCGTAACCTTCATACCGCGCTACCATATCTCGCTCGCCGCGGGGATATCAGACCGGTGCGACCGATCTGGATCGACGCCATTTGTATCAATCAAGCAGATCAGGAAGAGAAGATGGTGCAGATCCGGGAAATGAATCGCGTGTACAAGCAGGCGAAGAAAGTATGGGTATGGCTTGGTACTACGAAGTATCAAGAACGCGTTCCTGACGCCTTCCGCTTTCTAAAAGAGCTAGCAGAATACAAACGCAGCCGCCACTTTGAGAGTATCAACGATGAAGAGGAGAGACTCAATCTTGAAATCGTCGAAATGCCAGTGAAACTCGCTCTCCATCACATTGTTTCGAACGACTGGTTTGGAAGACTATGGGTCATACAAGAAGCGGCGTTGGCCCATGATCTGACCTTCCTTTGCGGGGATAACGAATGCAGCTGGGAAACCTTGAACGACGCGCTTAAAGATGGAACTTTGTGGACATGCCTCAAATATGAGTTCAGACGATGCCAAAATTTTGCGGAATTTTGCGATGAGTCAGTGCAAATTGAACAGAGACAAAAGTATGGGAAAGGTACAATATTCAGCATCCGAATCATCGTGAAGGATTGGAGGAGTGCCAAAGACGTTGAAGCGGTCAATGCACAAGCCCTGATGCTGGCAATCACGATGCTTGTATCATGTTCACATATATGCCTCAAACCGGAAGATCGTGTCCTAGGTTTGCTGGGCTTAGTGGATGCAGAGGTTCTACGACGAACCTGCCTCGATCCAGAGGTAGCATATGTTTCAGTCGAAGATCTGTTCACGCGAGCAACCAGATTCGTATTTGCTTTCGCCGCGCCGCCCGACAGGGCCTATCTGTGGGAATGGTTGCGCAGCGCGTTCAAAGTGGACAAACGCGCAGGTCTACCGTCTTGGGTACCGGATTTCCATAGCCCAGGGCTCCGGACCTTGGGGCCGGTTGAATTCAAGTGCGAAAGACCGTGTCGGTACGCAGCTGCCAATAAGGT